TCTCAGATTCTCCAGCATCTGCAGTTCCTACTATCTCTCTCAAATTTAATTAATTTTTTACATAAGGAAGCCATAGTCCAGTACAAACCCTTCGCCAGTGAGCGCACAACAGGCTTGGATATGCCATGGATGATCTTTGATCGAAGTTAGTGTTAGAAATTTGGAAATTTCAGCTGCCGACATAGAGTTCTTCATGTCTTGTTTATTGGCAAATACCAGCACAGCTGCCTTCCGCAGGTCCTAGAATAAAACAAGCCATTGTTACAAATCCTTCAAAACAAATACCAGCAGAGGACACATCAACCAAACTAATGCTGGCAAACATTGCAAGTATAACACACTCTAACCTAGGTTCAACATTTGTATCTCAAGTATGCTCAAGAAGCTGATCCTTTTAAACAAAAAAATGGTGTCTGAGCTGGTCTCCAAGACCAACATCAGGCAAAGACATGAAATATACACAATATGAAACAGGTATCTTCTGCCTGGCTAAAAGCCTAAATAAGATTAGAATTGGCACAGGCTTGGTGCACTGAAGGGTCTGTTTGTGTGCTGTCCTGAACGGTGTTGTAATTGCATTTTAACCAAAGGTCTTAAAAACCAACCTAAACAGACCTGTAGACATGCTGAATCTGGGACTTCAGTGCAGAAAAGGATACACTTTAGCTCTAGATCAGTGTGGAGCTGGAGGAACACAGCAGGCCAGGCAGCAGAGGAGCAGGAAAGCTGACATTTCAGGTTGGGACCCTTCTTCAGAAATGGGGGAGGGGAAGGGGACTCAAATAAGTAGAGGGGGGGCAGTGAAAGCAGGTAGAGAGTGGAGTGGATAGGTGGGAGAGAAGACGAGCAGGTCAATGAGGCAGGGATGAGGGGGGCTGGTCTTGGGATGAGGCCGGGGTGGGGAGATTTTGAAGCTAGTAAAGTCCACATTGAGACCATTGGGTTGTAGGCTTCCAAGGCAGAACATGAGGGCCGTTCCTCCAGTTTCCGGGTGGCATCGTTGTGACACTGGAGGAGACCCAGGACGGACATGTCGTCCAGGGAGTGGGAGGGAGAGTTGAAGTGGTTCACGACTGGGAGGTGTTGTCATTTGTCGCAAACTGAACGAAGCAATGGCCCAAGCAAAATTTTATTTAACTCCAAAGGACCTAACAGAGCTTTACATGTTTGGGACTTATCTGAAACCATCTTTTATCTGAGAAACAGCTGGCCCCAAGGTTTTCAAGTAAGGGCTATCTGAAACTGGCTATTTAGCCCTACCAATCCGTGCTAGCATTGATGTTCCATTCAAGCCTGCTCCAGTCTTTCCACATCCAACTCAACGACATTTCCTTCTCACTCATGGTTGTGGGGCTCCCTCTTAAATGCATCTATATTACTCACGCCAAACACTCCCTTTGCTAGCAAGTCTCATTTCAGCACTCCTGGTGTGATGACCACTGTTTCTTTATTCTTGGATTGAGGACCAAAATAGGAAAAGCATACTGCTTTGAATTAAGGAATCCATTGACAGTTGTATTGACACTCCTACTTTGGTCAGGCAGGGAGTGAAGATTCTGGTGTCTCATTGGCACTGTGGGTGCACGTTCAGGCAGCTTTGGGAAGGCTGGCTATTGACTGGGTTTTTCAATCAGGTCCAGTTATGTGGGTCAGAAGTGATCAGCATGACAACTGATTGTCTACCTGGTCCATGGTCAGGTAGACAGCGAGATTACAGCAGCAGAAAGCTTCTAGACTAAACAGACTGCATCTCTGCCCTTGCAGAGAAGTAACAAAGATCCGCAAGATAGTGAGCTATTCTCAGGATTTGCCCATAAGTCACTGCCTCTAATGAGTGGCTGAAACACTGAACAGTCCTGGGTCTGCAGTGAAGAACTAAAGGACACTATATTGAATCCTGCTGACTGGTGCTATTGAACTGTTCGGTTTTCCCGTGACATGTATATTTTTATCTATGTCTCTCTGCATGTGTCTAGGTTTCAGGAGGGACATAGTGACAAGTTGATAACTCTTGATTGCCTGTAGTTAGAACTGGTATTTGTTTTCTATTTACCAGAGTTCATCAGAAAGAAAAATGGAGGATTGAGTAATTTGATTAAAGATTTAATCCTTACAACAAACCCTGGTAGTAATACAGCTCAAATATCAACAGACTTTCCACAAGAGGATTGTAACACTGGGTAATTTCACATTGGATTTTTGGTAACATCTTGTATTGTTAGTATCTAGTTTCTCTATTCCCCAGAAGTACCAACTTTCAACTCAGCATGCACTCAAGGAAACTAGCTGTTTCTCCCCCATTTAACAGATACAAACAGCAGACACAGTTAATGCTAGTCGACAGATATTTTCACTAAGGTGTGCGCCTAACTATTGCTTAATGTCCTTAAATCACCTTCCTACCTACCCCATATTCTTAGTTATAATAGTCCACTGACATCTATAACTATTCCATGGCCACAGTCCAAAGTCTACAGCACAGAAGGCGGCCCTTTGGTCCATCAAGTCTGTGCTTGTCAAAAACCACCTAACTAATCCTTTTTTTTTAAAAACACTTAAGAATCCATCAAAACCACACCAGGTTCCATTCCTGATAGATATCCACAGATAGGAAACATTCCAAGCAGATGGTCTGATCCAATTCAAAACTGTTGCCATGATAGGATCTCAACCACAGTCCAGTACATTTCCTGTGCCACTGCTCAGAAAACCCAATATTTCTTGGTGTTTACTCCCCATTAAGGGAAGTCACTCCTTACCCAAGGCACCAAAACCAACTGCGGCATGAGTAAACAAATCAGTCAGTCTGACATGCATGAAACTAAATTAGCAAAATTTGGCATCCAAGATTCATCACCATATTTCAACGTAAGCTATTGGTCAGGGGTAATAAAATAAAGTTCTTTTATAGTCATACATAACTTGCCATCTCCACCCAATAGTGATTGAACCCAACATTCCTATGACTACTAAATCGGCCTACCCAGATACGGGAACAATTGAGAAACTCAATCTTAGAGACAATATTGACAAATTAGTCCGTAAAAAGATGGCGATTATGTAAGATTCTCTATTCCAAACATCACTTTAGCAGTGAACTCCCTTATCCTCTGCCAGTGTATCCAAAAATAAGATTGTTTCTAGCAGCAAATTGTACCTCATGTGCCAGCATTTTGTACAGCTCCTCTTTCGTAATTGTCAACCGTTCTCGGTCTGTGCTGTCCACAACTAGAATGACGAACTGAAAATAAAAAAAAGTTACCCATGATGAATACAAATCAACTTCTTCTGAATCATTTATAACTAGCTTCTTGGATAATTTGGTTGTCGATGCCATGTCTTCAGTATTTATCCTGGAATAACTGGAGGTATTTACTGATGGTATTGCAACTCTCCTTCACTATTTGGTTTCTTTATAAATGCTTTCAACCTCACTGGATATAGAGAGACCAGACAGCACAGACTCCACATAGCTATGCACATCTCCACACCAATTCAGCACAGCAGAAACTTACAGGAAACATGGAGGGAAGGGACAGAGAGAGGAAAAAGGACCCATTGAAGTGTTATTCTATCAAGCAATTCAGTAGCAGCAAGTAGAGAGCCAAATATTATACTAAACCCAGCTCTGTTCATTTCGAATCAAAGACAACTACAGGCAGATTCAAGAAATTAGGACTTCACTGTAATGCATAACAAATTTGTGCTGCATTAATCTGAAACAAAGTTCACTATTAGATTTTGTCCTCTGGTACAGTTTCAGCTACATACCACAACATGATATTGGGACTGCTGCGGCAACAGCAATTAGTAATTTAAGAACATCATCCGTTTGTGGTACAACATTAAAGCAGTTTAAGTGCAATAAAGTAGTTCTGGCAATGCTGACTAACTGCAGTTACAAGCAATTAGTCCTGTGTCAAAATAATTTAAACAGCAATTTTGACTGGAGAAGTTGCAATCTCTTCATTGCAGATTTACTGACCTGGTGCAAAGACAGTGGAATTTTGCAATAGTACTTCTAGTACGGCAGGACAGAGGAGAAAATGGCAAGAATGCTACATGCCATTTGTTTCTTTTCCAACCTGAAGATGGATTTGGCAGCTTCATGGAAGTTTAAATGATCAACAGATTTGATTGTTGTGTCAGCACTACAATATCTGGATAGTGCCAAAGATTAAGCAATGCCAGCTGCAATACAAACTTCAGAGTGGAGTTTACTATAAACTCAAGCTATCTGAACAGGCTGCCTGATCACTCCATCTGTTTGCTTTCTCCTATTTTACAAACACAAAGCCAGAAACTTTAAAGAACAGTCAACTAGACACTAATTTGACCTTAGTCACCCATTCATACTGAAGTGTACAATGGTACAGTTCAAAACAAAGCACAGCTCCAGCAGAGAAAGCTAGAAGCAGGTTCGAGTAGAACATGAAAGGTCATCAGCACTTGTAGCGCATTGGAAATTGTGAAGCTGTAAGGAATTGGAATAAAGTTGGAAATACTGTTTCCACTGATGGTAAAGGACAAAAATTAAAAGCAAGAACTGTGGGAAAGTGTGCTTTTTAATGTGGAATGTATAGTCTAAAAACATTGGACATAAATTTAACTTCCTAAAGGCAACCAAATGGCTAGTTGAAAGGCAAATGTTTTCAGTGCTGTACACGAAGATGGAGGAGGGTGGCAGTCATACAGCAGGGAAACAGACCTTTCAGTCCAACCAGACCATGCCAAAACATGACCACAAAGTAAACTAGTTCTACTTGTCTGCTCCTGGCCCATATCCCTCCAAACATTTCCTATTCATGTACTTAGCCAAAGGGCTTAAGCGTTGTAATCATGCCCACATCCTCCACCTCTTTGCCCAGTCTTTAGGATTCCCATGTGAGCTGCTGTAACATGACTATCACAGCCTGGTTCCTAGATGTGCTCTTTAGTCCCTTAGAGTCCCAAAGCTATTGGTGTTTTTGAGCATTATATTCTTCAAGGTTGAATGCCATTCTTTTGCTAATGCCACCTAAATTCAGGGCAATTTTGTCAAAAGTAGAACATCTATTGTTTGTGCAAATTTTTGCAAAATGTCTCCCATTAGCTACTGGGAACATGGTGACTGTGCAATGTAAATTAAAGTGGAACTCATTTTAAGATAAGGTGGTAAATGCAGATCATTTTCTAGACTAACAAGTTGCCAACCATCAAGTTCAAAATGCTTCCATTTTCCTCTTATGTATTGCTTCCCATCCAGGTTAATTGTTCAACTGAACGGGCGTTAGACCAGTTCATTGATGTAATTTCAATCCTTAATTATGTAAGAAAATACTGAAACTTTCCACTGACAGTTGGATTCAATAGGAATGAAATCTGTCAAGGGAAATGGATCCCCTTGGACGGAATGAGTGAATTGGTGGAAAGCAACAGTTGGTTTGTTGCAATTCTATTTCTCTTCTGGAAGAAAGCTGCTTGCCTTTAGGAACTGTCCAGCAACCCATCCAAGTAGATATTCACCTTTAAATGATGGTGTAGTGCTCCTATATGGGAGGGGCAGTGTAAGATCCAGGAGATTTCATTGCATCAGGGGCTTACACCTGACTTATAAACACCTCCCATATCGGTATTAAGACTGAGTCCAAAGAAACTGGGTCGTACCTCCACGTTGGCCAGGTAGATGCAAATTGAGGATTGAACCTATCATAGTTGTTTTGACCCAAGTGTTTGAGAAAGAGTAGACTTGAATGCTAAATATCCAGTGCAACAGGATACGAGGCATTTATTCATGCACACTTCAATCTTAAAATCATTGAATAATATTAAAAGCCTACAATAGTCAGATAGTAAGAACTGCCAATGCTGGAGTCAGATAAGTGTGCTGCTGTGTTCCTCCAGCACGCCAGGCAGCATCAGAGCAGGAAAGTTGATGTTTTGGGTCGGAACCCTTCTTCAGAAAGTGGTTTTCTGAAGGATCCCAACCTGAAACATCAACTTTCCTGCTCCTCTGATGCTGCCCGGCCTGCTGTGTTCCTCCAGCTCCACACTTATCTAGGGTTAATGATAGTTGACTTTTCCCTAGGATGGAAGACTTCAAGGCTAGGGGGAGCATTTTTAGGGAGAGATTTCCAATTCAATTCCTGAATGTAGTCATTTCCCCAAGACTGGTCTCTGCCAACTATTTTGTTATTAATTCTGTGGGGTTGACAATCAAATCATTGCTTTCCAAACAATGCTCAGTCAGCTACAGTATGCATAAGGAAACCTCCTGAAGTGGCACTTAAAAAAGTGAACTCTGAATCAAAAGTGCAGTTGCAGGTTGTTTGAAAGCTTTGTCACTTTAGAAATTTGCCCGAATTGATGAGATACAAAACCCTTGGAGGACTCAGTTCAATATCCAAACATTGGTTGTTCAATAAAGTCAGGGGGCTTGAGATTAGAAGGGAGGAAGGAGCTCTTGAGGAATTTCAAAACACATGATCAGCTAGAATCATTCTGCTCACGCCCCCAGGTGGCAGAGGTAAACATGTCGAATACAACGTATCTCACTTCTTTTACTTGCTGTTTGTTAGAATCAATAATTTGGAGTGGAGACAAGGCAGAAAATGTACCTGTAAGGGCCGGTCTGACAAAACAATTGTGTGAAAGCTAACAGCATCATGGGTGTAGTGCTACACCAACACCTCTAACCATCATGGAAAGAAGCTTAGCTTTGTGACATTTTAAGTTTAATACTTCAGCACTTCAATTTGACACGAGGTGCCCGGTCAGCACCAAGAAAACTGTTCGTTACAAATTACTGCAGACTCATTTTGATTCAGAGATATTGACTCAAGCAATTCCCTGCATCAGGCCAGGGTCAATAGAATAAAAAAGTACATCCTCAAAATATAGTTACAGGTAACAGAGGCTGAAGACAGATGGTGATGGCGATGAGTAGGGAAAGAGAGGGGAATGTATAGACAGATTTTGGGAGTCATTTACTCGGATTAAACACAGCATTATATTGATGGCAAAATTGCCACGTAGTACAGATTACTACTTAGTACACAAAATTCATCAGGGAATGGACAGGGTCAATGTTCACAGGATGGTCCTTGTCTGCAGAGTCTAGAACGTGATGTCAGACACAGGGGCTGATTTTGGACTAAGGTGAGAAGAAACTTCCTCAAAAAGATTGAGCACCTTTGGAATTCCCTACTCCAGAGAACTGTGGATACTCAGTTACTGAGCTAATGATAATTTTTTAGCATCCAAGCAAATTAAGATTATGGAGGTGACATGGGAAGGCCTGGTGGAGCAGACATGGGTTGAATGGCTTATGCTCATTTCTTCTGTCAGTTCTGGACTCTCAAAGCTGGACAACTATTTCCAGTTAAAGATATTTTTGTCTAATAACTAACCATGCATAGGTGCACGTGGCAGCCAGTCCCTCCAACCTGTTAAGGGTAGATGTGCAAAGGTCGTTTCCCCCTCATGGGAGAGTCCAGGGCCAGAGGGTATTATCTCAGAGTAAAGGATTGCAGCTTTCAGAAAGAGGTGAAGCAAAATTTCTTCTGAGGAGAGTGAACGTGTTGAAATCTTAGAGGGCTGTCAAGGCTGGGTTGTGAAGTACATTCAAGGCAGAGATAGACAGTTAAATCAAGGGAATGAAGGGTTGAGGGAAAGGCAGGAAAGCAGAGAGAGGAGGGTTAATCACTTCAGCTAGGATCTCATTGAATGCAGACTTCGGGACTGAAGGACCTACTTCTGTTGCTACGTCTTATGGACCAGATAATTACATCATAGTTAAGTTTCCTCCACTTAATCAAATCCTTCAAGTCATCTTTCAAATGATCGTGAATCCGTCTAGTTTAACCTGGATAATCAATCTGGTGGATCAACAGTACATCCTGTCCAAGCCCAGTAGGTCCTTCCCAAAACATAGTAATTAGAACTGATCTAGCTCCCTGGAAACGGTCACATCAGAACTTTGTATAATCACATACCTCAGTGTTTGTATAATACGTGCTCCATGTTGAACGAAGCATGTCTTGGCCACCAATGTCCCACATTAGGAAATGAGTGTTTTTCACAACTATTTCTTCCACATTGCTGCCAATTGTGGGTGATGTGTGGACCACCTCGTTCATTAGGCTGGCAACAAAATTAACCAGAGGGTTACGATTCTATTGGCACAACATCCATTACACCCCAACCACAAAGGTCAGGTTCCAAAATTTACTAATGTATTTCTCATCACCCAAGAAAAAGCATCACTTTCAAGCTCAGGATTGCATGATTCAGTAGCAAATTATTTTCAAGCTAGTTATCTGGCAGGCAATTAGCAACTGGTTCAAAACTCTCAATCCATTAAACAATGTCAGAAAATTTAACATTCCTGCTCCCACTAAAGCAAGATCAACCTCAAAACATTGATCTTTATCAATGATTGTGTTTTGGAGAGAGCAGAAATTGTCCAAATGAAGCATGCAACTTCAAGTTATAAACTATTTTATTGGACTCATAGGTTTTATACAGACCTTGCAGGGGTGAAGAGAATTAAAGTTTGAGCAATTGAGCAGTGCATATTGAAACTCCGGTAGAAAAGACAGGTAACATGAAACTAAATAACAGCACAGATAATACTTTGGGATACAAATAGCTTGTTAAAACTCAGGTCATCATGGCCTACAATTTTACAGATCCTATAAAGTGGTCCAATAATCGGTTAGATCAGCATCTGAAGATTACTAGCATTACGTTGGTTAAACAACCAAAGTAGAAAATTGGACACGTCAATTGTCTCTATTCAATTGCTGACACTACCGCTTTTCAATGTTCATTATGCCATTCAGCCTGTAGCTACCGTGCAAATGCAATTTCTAGAGGACTCATCTTTAAGCAAACTCTCCAGGTAAAGGTTTCTGGCAGGACAGAAAGACTACACTGCTCATGTGACATTTGAGCCTTAGGAATTGACGGCCAAATTTCAAATACCAATCTGCAGCTTGTACAGCTTTATGCAAACGGAATATTTAAGAGCTCACGTTTCACTAATTGAACTAGGGGGTTGCAGATTTGACATTGATCAATATGGAAAAGCATCAGGTTGCAGTTTAAAAAGTTATACATCTACACTAGAGGCTTTATAAATTCATACTTCTGATTTCTTGGAGCAGTCAACTGCAAAAACCAATTGCAACAAGCATGTACACAAATAAGAGGGCTCTTATCACTGCCTCTGGGTCAGACGGTCTGGGTTTTAAGTCTCATCTGTGCCAGAAATGTCTCAACAGCTTGGTTCAAAATGTTCATACACAAATCCTGGGTCCAATTATTTTGATAACAGACTCACTTGTAGACATGTACTTCAAATTACGGTTTTAGCATATTCTGCAGCAACAATCTAGAAACCAACAAGATACAAAACGTACTCACAATTGATAAAGGATGGTTGTTTTCCCAGCGTTGTCCAGCCCAACAATGATAACTTTGTGCTCTAAAAAAGGAGAAACAAAAAACAAAACCAATGATTGTTTAACTTGAAACACATTAAATCCTGTCCTTAAAAGTAGTAAGCAGATTTAGAATCCTTCTCCACATTAAGAATTATCAAGCAGCCAACAGTACCTGTTTAGTTCTATACAACCCCATTAAAATATTTCAAACATTTAACACTTTCCAATGAACAACACTGATGTGCTCAGATGCAGCACATATGTATGAGTGAAGCCAAATGTTCTCTTCCAGCGGCCTCTTTTGTAACAAAAGAAAAACAGTTGGAGAAACTCAGCAGGTCTGGCAGCATCTGTGGAGAGAAAACAATTAATGTTTTGGATCTAGTGACCCTTCAGAAGTTGAAGGGTTTTTCTAACTATTTCTGCTTTTGTTTCAGCATTCTAACACCTGCAGTTCTTTATAAAAACCAAAAGAACTGCGGATGCTGTAAATCAGGAACAAAAACAAAGTTGCTGGAAAAGCTCAGCAGGTCTGGCAGCATCAGTGAAGGAGAAAACAG